GTTCCAAACGATGTCTGTTTTTCCGAGCGTACGAAACATCGCTCAACGTGTTTAGGCAGCTGGCGACCATTAATTTCCATACCACACACTGTGCAGTTCACCATCTGCAAATAACGACAGAAGTTTTTAATAACGACTTTGTTGAGACATCTTCTCAAAAACTTACAAAATCCACATCACCAGGTTCATCATAACTTACTGACGTGGTCGACTTCATAGCCTAAACAAAATAGGTCAACACTGCATCTGCGAAGGACGTATAAAACCTACCGTCACATATCTTTGGATGATTCGTATATATCCCAGCATAGTGTCTGTCTGCTTTTGAATCTGACCGATCTTTTGGTCGACTGCACGTAATTCTTCAAGAGTTTGAAGCTGAAAGCAAAAATTAGATCTAAAAAATGATGAAAGAAATTGTAAATCTACCTCTGATTCTGGTTGTACTCCGTAATATTCTTCAACCTTCTTTGGCATTAACGTAAGAAGTCTACGCTGAAAACATATGATCATTAGCGCTTCTAACAACCCATCAAAAGTAAAACCAAATCTCAATCTAACCTTAGCCAACTTTATCCCGCATTCATCACTGCAGTATTTGCTATTATCTCGTGCCTGTTTCACACAATCTGGCTCGATACACTGACGTGGTTCCACCTTCAAAATTGAATCGTGTCTCGAGATAATTCATTACTGACTATAGTCTTAGCATCTGTTTCTCTTCAAGATGTCACATTTACATAACTAACCTTTTTCGGTGTATCATGCTTCCTTCTGGATGTTTGTGCTCGGGCATATGAACGACGTGTTTGCTCTAAACAAAACGTAAAGCGGTATAAATTTTGTGTAATACTGATTGACTTCCTAAGCTGTCATCCTGACATGACCCTACGATATGTGGGAGAAACTAGCATGTTCAAAAACCATCAATTCTAAGAAACATTACAAGACAAGCGCATGCGCTGCCTAATCCACTTAAGCTACAGGACACTAGCTTTATTGTTCTGAATCGCTAGATCACTGTACATTCACATCAATTTGTTTTATGAAACTTCGAAGAATGCTTACGACGTTCATCCATCTCGCCGTTAGGGTGCAGATGTCCACTACTACGTGCCTAAAAAAGATCAAGATAAATTGAGGACTACAAAAAGAACAAATCAATTTTAAAAACAGATTTCTACAAGAGAGAAAAGGCGGATAGCCCCAGTTGACGGAAATAGACGAGAAGCGTGCGAAACTATGAAATCAAAAAATCGATATTGACGAGCTTTGATCTGTGTCTCGCCTGCATTTATTAGATACAATATATTTGGCCTATTTGCAGTTTGGAATATATAACCTACCCTACGTGCTGCAAGCACAACAGAGGTATGACAAATTACTGGGAGAGATCAAATCTTCAAAATGGAAATACTAGAGTCCCACTGCGAACCGAATACGGTAGTGTCGCCGAGTGCGAAATAATGATTGTTGAGACTTTCAGCGTAACTTGAGTTTTGGAGAATCAAATCAAATCTGTTGCTTTTATCCTAAGAATTACTCTAAAAATGACTTACATTTGCATGCCCATCCTTTCTTGGCCGACCGGGACCTCGCTTTGGCACTGAGGTTGCCGCTGTGTCTCCTGCGACAACATAGTTATATGCATTGATGTATATATGCAGCTTCTTAAATCTTTCCAGAAGAGCTGCAACACAATGGGATAGCGATACCTTCATGTTTTACTTCCTTTTTCGGAATTTCAACAGCTTCTTTCCGTGGCGCGGGTTTTTGGTTGGCTGAAAAGCGAACTTTCGTGGAGATTTTGGTTTTTTGAACACTAATTTCTTTGAAAGCAAGAACATGAATATATTTTCTGTTTATTGAACACACCTCGACTGGCCTTCTGTAATAAAATCGCCTCTTGAACGCATTTTCTTCTCGAACATTGTTCTCCAGCAGCACAGCCATCGCATTTACCACAGTCCTCTGCGCGAAAACAACCGATGCATTCACCGCAGCGTGGTGCACTCATAGTTTCTAAAAGCACTAATATTTGACTAGAATATTACCTATGCAGCTTTGGGTATCTCTTTACTTTATAAGGATCGGTCGATTCAGACCGGCTGACCCTTATAACGCTTATAAGCGCAATAAGAATCGGCCGATCAAGGGTGTGCGACGGTTGCGTTGCAGCTCCCTGTTGAGTACCGATTTGACGCAACTCGGCTCTATCCCAGCCTTTCCGCACTTTTTTCTTCCGAGACTCGCTTTATTTCTTCAGGGTTTGTTAGAGTTCTCAGAAGTCATCAGCAAGCGTGCC